TGTGTATGTGTGTATATATGTGTATATCTATATATACACACATATATACAGACAGTTTTTCAGGGTGATTCTCTTTCTGCTGCTTAGACCGGTGTCCTGAGATAACACTTTGCACCCATCCTAGAGTTTATCATGAATTTCACACTTCATACTGCAGAGGGCTTTTCCAGTTCCTTTCATTGTTGAAATTATGCTGTGATGATTCCTACCATGAATGTATGATTTCAGTTGTTTTCACTCTGCTTCATTTTTAAATTTCAATAGTTCTTAATCTCCTTTTAATATTTCATGTGATTTACTTACTCCATTTAAATTTTATTATTGTTGTCTTGCAGAGGGGCAGGAACCTTTGTTGTTGTTCCTCCCGAGTGCCTTAGAGCAGTGTCTGGCACAACAAATGTTTGTTTAATTAAATGAATGAATGAGACACAAAAAAGATATGAGATAGATCCAGAATGGCCTGGCTAGAGTTGGTAATTTCACTGGTGCTATCAGGTATTTCTTTTTGAGATAAATACCTCATGCTCCCAATTGAAGTGTTACTTACACTGCATGTATGGAAAACTCACATTTACTTCTTAATTTGTAAGTGCTTTTTATTTCAAAATTTGTTAGTTTTGATTTACATAGAAAACCATCCTCTCCCTCTGTTAGAAGGAGTTTTGAGGGACGTCTCACCTCCTAAAGAAAACTGAGTTTGCCCAGAGTGACGTGATCACCAGAGTAACGTTTTAAGAACACAAGTCTGATCCCATCACTCCCTCTGCTTAAAACCTTCTGTGGTTCCTTGTGTCTATGGAATAAATTTCAAATGCCATAGTATGACGTACTACGCCTATAATCTGACACCCTGGCCCCCACTTCTTCCTTTTCTCATTTCTTACCCCTCTTCATTTCCCCCCCTATTCTCCCTCTCACTGATCCATGTGCACTTCCAAGAACTTGTCATGACCTCTCACACCTTCATGACTTTGCACCTGCTGTTCCCTTGCCTAGGAATTTCTCCTTCTATATTTTCTAACTTATTGCTTTACACTTATTTACTTAGTGCCGAGTGTGAAAGTAAATACCCAACAAATATTTGTTGAGGAAATGGTCTTTAAGACTTAAATCAATAATTAAATCAGGAAAATCTTCCTAATTTTATTACTCGCTACCTCCAAGCACCACACACACACACACACACACACACACACACACACAGGGTTAAGCACACCTTCTGTAGTAGCAACAGATAATGTTTATTGAGTGCTTTCTTTATACCAGACTATTCTAAGCATTTCAATATATTAATTTACTTAAATCTTCATTATAATCCTACAAGGTAGAAACCCACACACCTGATTTGACACATGGGAAAGCCAAGCTGCAAAGATGTTAAATAACTTGTTAAACAGCTGGTAAGCAGTGAAGCCAGGCTTGAAACTGGGGCGTCTGCCCGCAGCTCATGCTCTTAACCACTTGGCTGTACTGCCTCTCCTGTGTGTGGTTTCTTCTCTTCATAGCATGTTTTACACTATACTGCTACCATCTGTTTACTTGCCTGTAAGCTCCTTGAAATTGAAGGTTGCATTTATTTGTCTTTTCTTCTTGGTGCCAGGCAGACAAGTATGCTTTCAATGATTTTTTTTTCAAGGACTTACTTTTGAATGAATGAATGAAATAGTAAAACAACTATCTTCACTATGCTGCACAATATAAGGAAGATCTCTGATGGGGAAGGAACAATCCTAGGCCAGCCTTGTCTTTTCTCAGACAGTAAAACCATTTTTTCTGCACTGGGAATGTTATGTTGTAGAAACGGGTGATGCCAGAAAACCAAAGTGATGACAAGGCGGTTGGAGGAGTGTGATGACCATGTCTGACACAAGCAGGATGTATCCAGAATATTTTGAAACAAACCATGAAGCAAAGTACTGAGAATAGCAATGTGTAACAGCTGGGAAATACCAATAGCAGACCTTTAACAGGAAGCAATCTCAGAATGCAACCTAAATGTTTTACCAACCGTTAGACTGAATAACAGTGAATACAGAGGGAGGTGTCTGTGCACCGTGTTCATTCAGTGTATTTATTGTGTGCCTGCTATGTGTCAGACATTGTGCCAGGCGCTTAGAATACAGCCAAAACGAATCCACAGAACAGTCCTTGCAAGCCCCCAAGTGGGCACAAGAATCATCAGTAGTGCTACCCAAATATCCTAGAGCAGGGGGTGCAAACTGATGGCCCACTGAGTGAATTCAGGCATGTTTTTCAACATACACTTTTTTTCACACTTTTTACCAACCTTAAAAATCAAAATATTCCACCTAGAAATCTCAGTCCTCTTGAAAAAGATCAGAAACTCTTCATAACACTGGGCTCAATTTCTGCAAGGCAACAATCAGCTAACACTGAGTTATAGCTGTGTTATTACATTTCACGCTCACAACAACCCTATGATTGGAAGCAACCAAGATGTCCTTCAGTAGATGAATGGATAAATAAACTGCAGTATATCAGACAATGGAATATTATTCAGTACTAAAAAAAAGAGCTGTCAAGCCGTGAAAGTTCATGGAGGAACTTAAATGCACATTATTAAGTGAAAGAAGCCAGTCTGAGATGCCTACATACCACATGATTCCAAATATATGACATTCTGGAAAAGACAAAACTACAGAGACAACAGAATAATGAGTGGTAACCAGTGATGGGAGAGGAGAGGCAGAGCACAGAGGACTTTTAGGGCAGTAGAAATACTCTGTATGATATTGTAAAGAAGGATACATGTCATAATACATTTGTCCAAACCCTTTAAATGTACAGCACCAAGAGTGAACCCTTATGTAAACTGTGGGCTTTGTGTGATTATAACTGTAGAAATTTTTTGAATATGATCATTCCTTCAATTTATTTATTTTCTTTCATAAAATTCAAAGGAGATAAAATTTAATTATTTTCTATCCATCCACTCATCCATCCATAAACACATACATACATGAATTCATCCAGCTGTCTTTAGTTGTGTAGGAAATATTTTTTTTAACTTTTTTTTAATTTAGTAATAGTCATTTTACAATGTTATGTCATAGTTGTATAGGAAATATCTTGGATTATTTTCCTCTAACACTAATAATAGTGATTTATGGGTAGTGAGGTTTAAAGTGATTGTAAAACTTTACTTTTCTGGATTGCTTAATGTCTTGTAATTAGCGTGTATTATCTTTACAGAAACAATAGAGTGATTTTTTCCTTAAAGTGAAGAAAGAAGAATTAGAAGCTAATTTGCTAAGATGTTAACAGTAATTAATCCTGGGTGCAGGACTCTTGTT